CGATCGGTGCAGAGAACTTCACATTCCCAGCAAGACCACTATCTTCATCTTCAGCGCCATTTTCAAGACAGAACCACGCCAGAGGGGTATGACGTAAGGGGTGATCGGCGTCAATCATGACGGTCTCGTGGTCGTCCTTGACAACGTTGCCAGTGAAGACCTGTCGTCTGCAGATCTCCTGAGCAAACTCTAGTTGCGTGACGTGGCTGAGGGAATCCACGAGGCTGTAGCGCGTCTCCAGCGTCTCTTCCCAGCCGTCCTCGGTGATTTCCAGCCCGGCGACGTCGCGGTCCAGCTGGCACGGCAGCCAGAACTTGCTCCGCCCACGCTCCAAAATCTTCCGGGCCTTCGCCTCGTTCCCCCCGAGCCTCCATTTAGGTCCAAAGGGCATGGCGGATTAATCGTATAACCTGTGAGGAATATAAAATGATTATACAATGTCATGACTCATGTAAGTCGTTAGTTTCGACGTAAATAACACTTCGATTCTCTGGAATATGATTTCCGCTCTCTACATAACTAGGTTACCTCATGGAGTTTTCTACCTCCATGGTTACCTTTAACCCTAAACAGTACACCTGGGGTCCGCGCGGACCCCAGCACTATATATTCTGTAATATCTTTTTTGTTTCTAAAGATTTTTTTCTGAAATTTTAGGTAATTGTCACCCACAAAGTTGTCTCTAAATACAGTGCAGAAAACTCCGTTTCTACCATTTATAAAAAAATTATATCTGATTTTCTTTTGGGGTCCGCGCGGACCCCAGCCGGCTTTCGATCGTAATGGATACACTGGCGTTCTTATACATTACCTTATTTCCGTTTTTATATGTTTTTATGCACTCATCGTATGTCTACCAAGTTTTCAGAGAATGGTGTAGTAATAGAATTAAATTTTCATAACTTTGGTGTAATAATGACGTCATATGATGTCAGAGCTAATAATATAGTCCGCCATATTGGATTTTGACAAATGACGTCACCAACTTAGCATATTCTATGCATATTAAATGATTTAACTTATATTTGATTATGTAAGATGTTATTAATGTTGGAAAAGAAGTGTAATTTAATATAAAACTCAAAAAATTTTTATGTTTAAACCAAAATTACTTCTATTTTCAAAAAAACTGCCCGTTGCCATGGCAACACAAAAAACATCAACTTACTAGTATTAAACTAATATGAACTTTTTTCCAGAGACATTTTAGGAAAGGTCTCCAAATTTGATACTTCTAGCGCAAGC